AACCATCCATCTGGCAGCTGCCCCTTCTAGGGCTAAGGTGATGACTCACACTCAAGCCCCCTGGGTCAGGAAGATCTGCCCGTATTCTTGCATATAGATGAGGACTTGTGCCAGGAAGAATCCCAATTTCTGGGGGTCCCCGTTGAATTTTACTCCCAAGGGCAGGATCTTTCTCTGCAGCTGTAGGTCCCTGGGTTGGCCAGGGTTAATCCCCTGCTCTGAAATGGCAAGGGGTCGGATACCTGGCATGGCTGCTGCTCCTTTGATCAGTCTCAGCTGGATCAGGGTTGATGGCTTGGGTTCTCTCGATTTCTGGTTCACTTGATCTCCTTTGTTGGTGACCTGGTTCATCCTGAACATTTAAGTCCTCCAGGGCCTCCCTCATGAGGCGATTTATGTACCGTTTCAGTCCGTCATCTGCCAGTGGTTCCTTGATCTGTTCTTCCTGATTGGGAAGGGCTTCCAGCTCCATTTTCCACCCAGGTTTACAGTTACAACTGGTGAGGGTTACTCCCTTGACTTTTCCATCCTTTCCTATGCCTATAGACCATCGGGGCTTCGTGGAATTTTTGCAGGCAGCTTCAATGTCTTCGATGGGACACACAAGGCCAGTGTCTGGCTGGGTAGTTGTCGAAGTTTCTCCCCAGCATTTGGCTTGTTGCTATGTTCAGACATTTTTGCAGTCCCCCCTCCCCCCGGGTAGAGTGAAATTTTGGAAGGAGAAAAAAAATCCTCTCTGGGTTGACCACTATTGTATACCCTGCTTTATGTAATGACCAGACTCTCTCCCCTTCAGACGATAAGAATGAACTTTTGAAAACTGGGTATTTCAAAAGGAATTCTGTATTGAAAAGGAAGATAGCCAGGCAATATTCAAAGCAGGGTCTAATATCCCTCCAGGCATGCAGCTTAGATAAAGGTGGGGTTAGAACTCCTCCCCTTAGTCTGGTGTGTCAATACAAAGAAGCAACATGTTAACCCCCCCACCCTTTTCTGGAAATGTAGTTGAGAAGAGCTTCCAGGAAGTTTCTTTCAGAGATGGAATTTTTATGGCTCCTTTTTCCTCTTGCTATCTCTCCAAGAGGTGACAAGTTTCCAGGCATCTGGGCTCCAGGCCCCAGCTGTAAATTGTATGCAGGTTATACAGATTCAAAACAAGAATTAAGATATTCAGATTACATCAAAAAGGATTACTTGTATCACCCCCCCTTCTTCTTCCATTAAAGAATGGCAGATACACAGATCTGACATCCTGTCTGTATACAGACTCATTATCTTGAATTAGACCGACTGTTGTATCACCTGCAAACTTCAGTAGGGTTAACAGAGGGATCCTTCCAGAGGCAGTCATTGGTATATAGAGAAAAGAGTAGTAGAGACAGCACACAGCCCTGGGAGGTTTCTGTGCCAATTTACCCTCATCTACTGCTTCCTACCTGTTAGAAAGCTTATAACCCAGCTACAGGTGTGGCCAGGAACAGCTAGCTGAGTCAGTTTTGAGATGATTTCTGAAATGACAGTATTGAATGTCAAACTGAAGTCTTCGGGGATTCAAGATGCTGTAAGATGTAATGCAGACCCATACTGACAGCATCATCTGCCAATCTATTTGCACAGTAGGCAAATTGCAAGGGGTCTAGCAGCAGATCCATGATGGCTTTCAGGTGGGCCACCACTAACCTTTCAAAGGTTTTCATAACTATGGATGTCAGAGTAACTGAACTATAGTCATTCAGGTCCTTAATGCAGGTACCATGTTCTGATCTGGGTGCTTAGCCACTGCTCAGCTGCTCTGCCATGCTGCTCTGAGCCATTGCTGTGGGCACTCCAGCCTACTATCAGCTCTGCTCCACTGCTGCTCAATTGGAATGCCATGCTGCTCTCAGCTGGTCCGCCGTACTACTCTCAGTCACTTCTCTGGGCATTCCGCTCTTTTGCCACTTAGCTCTGCACAGCTGTTGCTCATGTCCACCGTGCTCCCAACTGCTGGTCTACTGCCACCTAGCTGTTTCATGTCTGCTCAGTGGCTTCCGTTTGCACCTCACTGCCTCCACTCAGCTATCAGGCTAGGTCGCTGAGTCTTCTCTCCCTCAGTTGGGCTGCTGTGCTGTCTGTCTCTCAGCTGGGACATTGGGCTGCTTCGCAGCTGGGTCATCTCTCAGCTGTGCTGTCTCTCAGTTGGAACATTGGGCCATTAAAGGGGCTTTTTTCCCTCCCCAAAATTAGAAATTCTAGAAGTTTATTTTCATAAATCTCAAAATTTAGAAGGTTTTTTTAAAAAGAAAATTTAAACTTAAATTTCTATCCTTAGATGTTAGTTTTGTAGAGTAACAGAGTTGAAGGGACCTATGCTATTTTGGACAAATGGCTATCCAATCACTCAACCTCCGTTTTGGGAGTTCTGAATTCTGTGACAATGTTGATTTTGCCCTCTTGATATAGTTTGTAATCCACAGATATATTATAAATGACAAATGTATAAAATTTGAAAAGGAAAACAAAATCCCAGCAGATAAACGTTGCATCCAAATAAATGTTTGAATTCCAGTTTTCTCTTCTCTCCAAGTTCGGTCTTTTCCTCCATTCACTTTTTTTCCTGTGCATGTTTAGGGGGTTTTTTTTAGGCTTTTAAATGGATTATTCAGGAGAGCCCTATTTCTGCCATGCCCAGAATATACAATATTCCAGATGCAGTGTACATGGATTGCTTTTATATCACATACCTGGATAATTCTATTTTGTAGATGTGGCACACTATCGGTTCACACTCTTATAATCCATCAGGATATGTGCATCTTTTTACATATAATGCTGTCCCATATAATCCCCCTCATTCATGTCTTTGATTTTTCGTACCCAAATACACAACTCATCCCTGTTGAAATAGATTTAGCTACCATCATTCAAGTTTGTCAAGATTCTCCTGAATCTTGGTATTGTCTTGGTGTTTGCTATCTCTTCTATATTTGTGTTATTAGAAAATTTCTAACCTCTCATGAGTTATGTATAAATATGTTCAATAATAGACCTAAGAATGTGTCAGCCTCCAAGTAGTTTTCTTGACATCTTTTGCTGCTTGATTCTTGTCGGCTGCCATAGAAACAGGGGGAGGGGTAATTTGATCCTGGGGGGTGTTTGTTGGAGTGCGATGACATTCCTGTGTGAATTAAAAAGGAGGGGATGCTTTCCTGCTTACTGCGCGACTGCATAGACTTATGCAGGTCAACCGTCTTGGCATACCATATGAGTGAGAAACCACCTGAAGATGTACCCCACATGACATTATACACACCTCAGATTGGATGACCAGTCTGGACTCCTGGGGGAGGAAACTTGGGATAACTTTCAATATGTAATTTCCGAGCCTATTTGCTTCAGATCTTGCTTTCCTTTTGTTGCTATCACTTCAAACTCAGTAAAAGTACTTTTTCTCTATTTTAATGGAGTCGAAGGAGTTCTTTCTTGGATTTTGAATGAGGCATAGCTGACAGAATCTGTTTTGTGTACCAGAACTAAACAATTATTTGTACATAACCAAGTGTTGATAGAATAATAGAATATTTCACATTCGCTATTAGTACACAACAGAAGCTATCTTTTTGACAAAAGACATTATCTGGGTGCATATTTTGTATACTAATTAAGTCAGGATTAATGTTGGCATTTGAGTGGCATACCATAGGTCACATTCAATATAGATACCTTTGGGAAAACAAAGACCTAAGAAAAATATTAATTTCAGTTTATTTTTATTTCAATATACTTATATTTTCTCTTTAATGTATATTTACTATTTTTCCTTTGACTACAGGAAGGTAATAATCAGTTGATAAGCAGCTAGTTGGGACTGAAAACTGTGGTTAAGCAACGAAGTCATAAGTAAAAAAAAGTTACCTCACAGTTTAGCAACAGCAGTTCCAGCAATCCCACTTGCTGAGGACTGCACAGATCGTTAAGCAAGAACCTCATGCAACCTGCAACTTCCCACTGGTCCCCCTATTGATTGTGGGAAGCTGAAAGGGAATTTGGAAAACATGATTATGTGACCATAGCACACTGCAACATCCTATCACGAGATGGTCACCAAACGCCCAGATCACATGATCATAGGAATGCTGCAATGGCCTGAAATATAAGGACTAGTCATAACTACCACTCAATCAATGCTGTCATAAGTTTGAATGGTCGCTGAATGAGTGGTTGCTAAATAAGGACTTCCTGTACATTAAAAATTGCAATTTGGAAATGAGTTTTGATAATTCCTCAGTGTCAAATTTAAGATTTGAGAGGTCACATGAGGTCCTAGATTTGGTAAAGAAATGAAATAAAAACACTTTTAAGTATTTGGCAGATGATTCATATTTGGGGTCATTATTACACTCTACATTAATATGAGACCACAGCAAAGCTTTTTCTCTTTCATTGATAGCATTGCTGAGTGCAAAGAGCACTGATTGCAATGTGCAATAGTACTTTCTAAAATGAAAAATTGCAACCAATTTGTAATCCAAAGCCAATGTGTCTAAATATATATTCCTTCTTTATTATTTGTTCTGGCATCATCACTGATATATGCGAACGAATTACAGCAGAAGGCCCACTTATTTTTTTCTGTTTCCTGGTGAAAAAAATCTTTTTTTAGAAATTTTCTAAAAACAATCATAATGATCTAAAAGTGTATTCCTATATAAACATAAGTTTTGTATCAATTACTTTATACAGATGTATAAGAATCCTCAAAATTTTCTTCTATCAGCAGATTAATAAATCCTGCCATAAAAAGTGTCAATAAAATATTTGAAAAAACAATATACTTTTGTCTTATATTAGTTATCTAATTATTTAAGAGGATGTAAAAGTCATTTATATAACTTCCAAGTCAGCTATTCCTGTGACTGTGATAAGAAGTCATCATTATATAGCTGTAGAACATTAACTCCCTAAGATTTTAAATATCATAACTCCCTAAGATTTTAATATCAATTACAACAGATGATTACCAGTTGCTGGTTCATAGATCTCCTCACTGTGATCCCCATCCACAGGTTGGTGACGGGCACCTTCTCGGTAGTTGAGAGGTTGCTGCAGTTGAAATGTACCAGTAATGGTGCTCATTGCAGTAGAACGAAGTAAACGAGGAAAGCCACGGAGAAGAAACAATAAACTGGAACTAAGAAGCATCCGAGGACTGATGCAAAGCTGCAGAGGATGTAATTATATGCATGCTGTGACAAGTTATTTTATGTAAAGTACATTCTTTAGAATCAAACCCATATGGATATTTACCACTGCTTTTCAATATTATTAGTTTTATGTCCCATCTTGATTTTCTACAACTTATGTTGGCATACATAATGTTCCCACCTCCTTTTCCCCACCACAACTGTATGAGCCAAGTAGGGCTGAGAGAGGGATTAGCCCAACGACATCCAGATAGGTTTTATAGCTAACTTGTCAGCTCCCAGTTTCTAGTTCAGCACCTTAACTATTATGCCAAACTGGCCCTCACTGATTCCCAGTGTAGCTTATTGCTCTGGATTCCCTGGGGTTGTCTCCCATACAAGGATAGCTTTGCATGTTTTCAAGACCAACCATTTGTTTTATTTAATTCAATTTTTAAATTGGGCACCTGGGAATGGCCTAGATGACTTGCAAGCTCCCTTCCAATTCTATAAATCAATATTATCTTTCAGAAAAGCTTCCAAAATAGTTTACAAACAAGGCAAAATATTTTTATTATCAAGTTCAATAATTGTGGGCACTCATTTCTGTACCAGAGAAATTGTATAAAGCATTATAGGTTGTATAACCCATTCTGGAGCATCATAATTACATTATTTAGTACCAACTGGTATACTTATAGCTGATTTATGCATCCAATTTATGCATCCACTGATACACAAAAATGCATTTTGTGATAGAAACACATAAAACCTGGTGCAATAATTTCTTGAATTATTCTTACAAGTAGCCCTTGATTTACAACAGTTCCTTTAGTGACCACTGAAAAGTTACAAATCACTGAAAAAAGTGACCTAAGACTGTTTTTCACATTTACCACTGTTGCAACATCCCCATGGTCATGTGATCAAAATTCAGATGCTTGGCAATTGACTCGGATTTATGACAGTTGCAATGTCCCAGAGTTGCAATGTCCCAGAGTCACGTGATCTCCTTTTGTGACCAACTGTCAGCAAAGTCCATGGGAAAGCCAGATTCACTGAACAATCATGATTGTAACTAACTTAACTGCAGTGATTCACTTAAACGTAGCAAGGAAAGTCATAAAATGGGACAAAACTCACTTAATAAACTTCTCATTTAACATAAATTTGGGGTTCTATTGTGGTCGTAAATTGAGGGCTATCTGTTCTCTCTCTCCCTCCTTCCGGGCGCAACTAATGGATCGACAATTTAAAAACCAGTAAGTTGCAGTAAATTGCACATACTGCCAGGATATGGAGACCACAATGGTAATGTAAGATTATCGCGGTTCAGAAAACAGCTTTAAAAAACAGAGGGAGGAGATGAAACAGGCCCTGCCTTATAAACCTCAGGCCTAAAACCGTCTTGGGAAATGGAAATACACTACCTCCGACAAGTGGAATAAAGTGTGTTGTTTCGCACAACACCCTCTCGGATCTACCGTCAAAAAATACTCGCTCCAAAACGAACAATCCGAAAACAAAGCGTGTCCCTTCCGTATCTACTTTCCACAGCAAGGGAGGGGAAGGTCCCTTTTTTAATAATCGGAGAGTAGAACGGCCTTCCTGCGCGCGGAGCAGTTCAAATGAGATCATTTGGACAGCGAGCTGCTGGGTTGCTCTGTACCAGTGTATGTGCGGGTGCAACTATAATCTGTAGGAATAATCTATTGCAAAGAGAAAAAAAAATCCCGATTCACTTCGACCCTGCCCGCCATAAACAGGAAAGCAGGAACCCTCCCTCAGATCTCAATGCAACCTGAGTGGAACTATTCCTGTTCAAGGATCCGTAAGCCACCCTAACCTTAGTCATCGCTCATACTCACATTTCAGCCACTGCACCTGAGCGCCGAGAACCGCCCTTTGGTGTGGAAGGAGCCTTTTACTCCTTTTTGCAACTTCGTCCCCTCTTGTAGAAAAGCCCCTCCCTATAATGGAGGGGTCTGATTGCCATTGAATCCGCCTCCCACGCTATTGGCTGGTTATGCGAAACCCTCGGAGGAACAGCCTGCAGCTACGAGCCTTTCGTCATCCAGAAGTGTATTTGCTGAGGCAGCAAGTATGCGTTGCAAACCCATTGCAAAGATTTTAAGAGTGCCTGCACCGAGAGCGGAGTTCCCCAACGCCCCCCCCCCCCAAAGGGAGAGGAATTCGGGGTTCAATAATTGAGTCAGTCACAAGTTTTGCCCTGTCCTTATCAACTTAGCCTCATAATTCTTTGGCTTCTCTAGCTCTGCAAAATCACTGTTTCTATTTCGTTCATATTATAATAAATAATATAATCACCAAGGTATAGGATGGCAAGGTAAAAGGAAAACTGTCAAAAGGTATTTTTGAGAAAAAAAATGTCCCAGTTACTCAATCCTAGTACTTTATTTTGTATTTATATTTTGGTATATACTATTTCTCCAAGCTTTAACTGAGAACATCATTACTCTTACAGGAACAGGAAAGCAGGGCATTTCTCCTCCAAGCTTCAGTGTTTCCTCTACAAATGCTTAAATGTAACATGATCCAGAAATATCAGCACAGCTATTGAATGGAGCAAATACTGTGGAATCACAGATGTCTCAAATTAGTTTTGAACTTCTAGTAGTAGTGGAATTTAGTAGTGGAATTTGAAGGAACAGATGATGGAATGTATGTGGCCCTGGGGATCAGAGGAAGGGTCATATGTAGAGATAGGATCCAGGTGTGGATGTAATGGACATGAGAGTGAGGAATATGAATTCTGATAAAAACTTTGTCTTAAAATAGACAATTAAGCAGCTTTGCTCCCTCCTTCTCTGCAGAAGGAGGGGAAAGTGGGGTGCTGCCTTGAGACAAAACTGTTCTTTTATTCTGCTCTGCAATAGGAAGGGGAGGGATGCACAGTCTTAGCAAGGCAAAAGATAAAACCTTATCTGTTAGAAAACCACTACCCAGGACATTAAAAATAAGAATAGATCGCTTATAAGAAAAACCCAAAACCCACATGGCTGGCAGATGAAACTAGGACACTTTGCAAGATACCCATGACCTGGGGTGAAAAGCAGGTGATATGACATTTAGCTATTTAGCATAGCAAGCCTAAAGGTTTAGGGGGCTGTAATCCAAATAACCAATCAATATTATCTGTTATGCATGCATTATTAGGAGACTATAAGAATTATTGTAAGATTGTAATTAGGGCCTTAGTCTCTTTCCAGGGTCCTTATATCTTGGTACCAAAATAAAAGTATAATTTTGTATCACACCTTGTGTTCGGTGACTTATTGGCTTTGACACCAAACAAAAGGTTTTTTGGGGACAACAAATCCATTCAATTCCTATTCTAATGAGGCAGTTTATATTCCCCAAATGTCTCTGCTCAGAATATTAATTTAGAACAACCTTCTGACACTTGCAACTGGCCTTTCATTTATGATAAGGTCAACATTTTTACTGAATCATCATTCAATTACTGCAATATATCAATAAATTACTCCTTGAGTTAGACTTCAGACTTAGTACAAACTGCAGACTGAGCAGTTTGGTCTGTGGTAATAAAGAGTCTGAGACAATATTGTGGAAAAAAAACATGGTAGGGATACATTTATTAAAAACACATTTCTTCTATTTCTATAGGCTTGCCTGCATATGTAGCACAAAAATAGCATATCAAGGCTCCCTCCCCCTTTTTTTAAAAACTTTTTCTTCTCATTAAGCACCTGAAATAGTTTTACAGTGAAGCTCTTGGCAAGTAAATAAGAGGCTAATCATTTGCTCTGTGGAATGTCTAGCATTAGCAAAGTTAAATAGAAAAAATACAGGAACAAAGTTTGTGCAACATGAGCTAGTTGAGAAGGCAGGTTCCAGGCCCTCTCCATTAAGCAATGTAATTGTTTGAGCACAAAATTGTGCCTTATCAGTGGCATTTGCCCTATGGAACAGCATCCTCTGGATTGTCACAATCCTGTTAGCCTTCTACAAGGCATTGGAAACCTAGCTGTTTTCCCAGCCAATTGAGTCAGGGGTGGTGGTAAGTGGGTTCTATGGCTTCTTTGGCCCTGTGGTTATTTGTTGGAGTTGTTTTAATTAGGTAAGCCAGAGTTACTTGTGTGTGATATGCTGTTAAATAAATTAAATAAAAAATACAATAAGGATAAAAGAAAATATTGCCAGAGGAAAGAAGTGTGATTAATAGAGTTATGTTTATTTAACAGGTATATTATATAAGCGAGGAAGATGATACACAACAGGATAAACAACTCAATATTTTTGGCATCCTGGAGCTGCAGGGGAACATCACTAATATGAAGATGTCACTAGAATGAATTATTTAAGGGCAACCTCCAAGACAAAAAAAAGGCTATTTGTAGCCTCCATGCTTCTAACATCTGTGATAGGAAAGCTATTAGGAAAGATTATCAAATAGCCAGTATGTAAGCAACCAGAAAAGAATTCTATTATTTCTAGAGTAGCAGCATTAGATTAACCATAACATTTTAAAACTGACATGAATATTTTGGTAGACCAAATGTGGATGCTGTGTACCTTGATTGTAGTAAAGTGTTCAATAGTTTGATATTTTTGTCACAAAGAAATTAAATATGGGCCAGTGGGCACTGCAATCTAATGGATTTGCAACTGGATGAACAATTATACCCAAAAGGTACTCATTAATAACTCCATACTATCCTGGAGGGAAATAATGTGATTTCTAGGAACCAATACTCTTCAGTATCTTTATAAATGAGCCTAGAATAGCATGGGACATCTACAACATTAGCAGATGATATTCACCCAAGCAGATTGGCTACAACTGTAAAGATTCACCTTTCTAATGAATTGCCAGATAAACAATAATGTGATGCAGCTAATGGACGGGTAAGCTGCATTAGCAGAGGTACTGTATCCAGATCAAAAAAGGTAGTACTTGTATTATATTCAGCAATGAATGGACCACAATTAAGATTACCGAATCCAGTCCTAGATATCATACTATAAAACAGACATGCAGATGTTGGAATGGTTTCAGAAGAGATATTAAGATGATAATGTTTCTGGAAACCAAGCTCAGTAAGGAATGGCTGAAAGAGATGTTTAGCTTTCAAAAGGAAAGATAAAGGAGATAAAATAAGCATGACGTATCAAAAAGTTGCCAATTGACAAGAGTGAAGCATACTAACTGAAATATATCACAAAATTTCCATTTATAACACTGCTCCACTTTTTTCTCCTTGCCACTTTCACACTGAGACAGTGGAACAAAAAACAAATCAACAAAAACATGTTCTGAGGAAAAATTGTAATTATTTCTATAAATTAATATTACAATAATTAATGGAGATTGTGTCTCATGGCAAATTTTCTGTCATAATTTAACGGAGCCTCCGTTATCCATTAATATCAAATATTGAAGGACATTGTATGATCTTTCTTATAAATTCCTAGAGAAATCCAGATAATGTTAGACTAAATTAACATTTGAAAAATGGCAAATTAAATAGTATGGGATAATAGAAATTCTTCTTTGTTTATAAGTAAAAGTGGAATCATGTCCTTAAAAAACCTCCAACTTTTTATGAATCCCTGCCTCATCTTTAATTTCAATATGTATTCTTACAAGTTTTTCCAGACTTTAAAATCTTCATGAAATGTACATTCTCTCCATCCTGGAAACTGAGAGCCAACCAAAGATATTTGTTCAACATGGTTCAATTCACAAAACACATATGTTACTAGATATCTTGGGTATCTGAATATTTTTAGAAACTTTTCTATAAAATCTGAATATTTTAAAAGTATATTCATTGGCAAGAAAGATAAAATTAGTTTTCTTATTTCAAGAGAACTTCCCAGCTTGAGGTGGTGGGCCAAGGAATCCTCCAGCCTGCTTGGTGGCAGCTCGGGAAGGAGCCAGACCCAACAGCTTCTGAATATTCTGATAAAGGAACAAAAAAGACACAAAAACTGAATAATGCATTTAAAATAAAGCAAGTTTTCCCTTAATAAAAAGTCAAAATCATATGTAAACACTGTTAATCAACCTCAAATAATTGCTAGCTTCATTTACACTTACACATTTACAAACTGAAAAAGTAGATATGCTTAATTTCTGTGGGCGTGGCTTGATGGGTGTGGCCTGGTGGGGGGGTTATGTGACTGAATGGGTATGACCAACTAGCCATCACTCACGCCCACACTCACTCAGTCACATGAACCAAGCCATGCCCACAGAATCCAGTAGGGAAAAAAATTGAACTTAGAGCTATTACAGCCTTTCTTTCTACCTATTTTCTGCCCAGGCCTGGCCTAGGTGGCCCTAACCCTACATCCTCCTGCACAACCACCTCTTTTTTCGGGCTTACCTTCCTTCTGTGGCAGCTGGCAGCAGAGGGGAAGGCAAGTGCTCTTTTTTGGTGTGACTGCGAGAAGCCTTTGTGATTGTGGCGGCTGGCTGGAGGCCACCGAAAAATACCAGAGGTCTCAAATGCACCAGAAAAGCCGCTGCCACCACGCTTCTAGCACGCGTTTTGGGCACTTGGTGCCAAAAAGGTTAGCCATCACTATAATAGACTATAATCTACCATTCACAGACAGACACATAGGATAAAGAGTCTAGACTACAGAGACAATTGATTGGTCCAAAGTCACCCAGCAAGCTTCTGTGTTAGAGAACTAGGTTTCCTTATTCCTAATCCAGCATATACATACATATATTTATCCCCCATTCCTAGTCCAGCACATACATTCAGAAACGTAAAATACACAAATACACAGAGATACACACTAAGATATGAGATAAATAGACAAATGTTCCATTTTGCTGAAATTTTAAAATGTTTACTAGAAAAAACACAACATATCTATCAGTAGCAACCTACACCAATCATTGCTTCTAATTCTCCAGAGTTTTTGTGCGAGTTATGGTTATTCAGCCACAGAAGTAAAACCCAAATTAGACCTTACCTGCCGAATAGACATGGTGCAGAGAATATAGAGAAAAATGAAGGAACAATCTGTGCAATCTTCACCCAGAAGATTACGATGAGACAAACCCTGAATGTAAGAAAGTGGTATG